ATTTACAAATACCATCACATTTGATCCTCAAAACAACCCTAGGAGTAGATGCTATTATTATCCCCATTTTATAGATGAGGAAATAGGGACTGAGAAAGGTTAGGTGATTTGCCCAAGGTCACACAACTAATAAATATCTGAGGCAGGATTTGAACTCAGGGCTTCCTGATTCCAAGTCTAACACTCTATCCAATGCATCACCTAGCTATCTATTACATGTTAAGAACAAGAAAAAGTAGTAAAACATAGGACTGCGTGATGTCCGAAGTGAACATTTATTGACCAGGACACTAGGAAGAGCTTCATGTAGGAAGTGGCATTGAGCTGGACCTTAAAGGAGCAATAGGAGTTTAATGTCCTAAGAAGGGAATAAATTCTATTCTAGGTTTGTTCACCTTGTAGAAAGAGGAGATCACCAAGACTCCTTATGGCAGGGCAGGGCAAAGCTGGCCCTCTGCTATTCCTGTGTGCCAATGAATCAGGTGTATCCCTGATAAATGGTTTCTCCATCAAACCATGCTATAAATTGCCCAGTATCTTAGGCACAAAATATACTGAAGAGTCTGGACAATGATTAATTTATCACAAGGCCAACATAACCTTATTCTTGATTATTGTTGTTGAGTCATTTCAGTCACGTCTGACTCTTTGTGACCCCATTTAGGGTTTTCTTGGCAAAGATACTGGAGTGCTTTTCTATTTCCTTCCCAGATCATTTTACAGATGAAGAAACTGAGGCAAACAAGGTTAAGTGACTTGTCCAGAGTCACACAGCTAGTAAGTATCTGAGGCCAGATTTGAACTCACAAGGAAGAGTCTTCCCGACTCCAGCCCCAGCACTCTCTCCCCTATGCCACCTAACTGCTATTCTTGAATATATCTTATCTATTCTTGTGGGAGTCCAAATGATATGACAAAGATATCATAAGGAGGTAAAAATACCTGTCCTCAGAAGTTAACCTGATATTTGAGGATGACACTGCTGACCTGACCCACTGTTAGTATAACTCATTCTTTGACCTTTTCTTCCCACTGGAATGGCAGCATTTTCCCTGACAAAATATAAACTCCACATTGTCTCACTCAATTTCCCCCCTGGACCAATGAAACACATTTGTAAGAGGGCTAGTCAGTGTTAGGGCTGAAGCCTGTGGCAATGATTTGGAGCAAAATTCACCAGCTCATATGTGGCCTGAACCCTACACTGAGGTCTCATTAGCATGGCAATAACTAACTGAGAGAAAGCCACAAAATCCCCCAAAGAATCATTTTTGAATCAAATAACCAAAGAGTTCAAGGAGAGACTAATTCTGACCATTTGTTAGCCAGTTTTATTTCCTTCACGTTGAAACTCAATTGTTGACAATCTCTGGCTCGTGCAATCCTTCTTAATCACCCTTTCACACACAGCTCTATTTAATAAAGTAGGACTGTCAATAATCATTTTGAATCAAATAAAAAATAAGGCTGTTCTGGGAAAACAGGCTAGCACAAGGATTATTGGCCACCAATCCCCCTTCCCTTACCTGTACCCTCACTGCATAAAAAGGGGCTTCATTTTTTCGTTGTTATCAAACCATTGTGTAAAGAAATACCTAGCATAAGTTTTGTACCTTATAAAATCTGGGACTCATCAGGAGTTTTTCTCTCCCTTTATTTTTTGATTTGGTAACAACTGATTTTCAAAAAATTCTCTCATCTGACTACTTCTTATTGGCCTTTCTCACCAGATCTTCTTTCTCCCACCCCAACACTCCATGGATTAAAGTCCTCCCTACCAAGCTCTTTCCTAGACCCTCTTCTCTCTCTCCACTATACTTTTGGTGATTTCATTTATTCCCATGGCTTGCAGTATCAATTATATTCAGATGGTATACAAATCTAAATTTCCAGGCTTATTCTAAAGCTTATTCCAGGTTCTCCCCTGACTTCTTATGCAAAATTTCCAACTGCCTAGTGGACATTTTTCTACCTGGAAGTCTTCCTAGTGTATTTGAACTCCACATGTCCAAAACAGAAATTACCGTATTCTCTCTCTCCTAGATTGCTTATTTCTATTGATTGCATAGTCTCCCATCACCCAGATTTAGGATCTTACAAGCCTCTTTGATTCTTTCCTTTCCCTCATGGTCCCCACATTCAAATAGCTGGCAAATACCACTAATTCTGACTTCGTAACATTTCTTGTACCTATCTCTTCTACTTTCACACAGCTGCTATCTGAGTTCAGCCAGAAGGTACAGTGGATAAAGTGCTAAGCCTGGAGTCAGGAAGACCTGAGTACAAATCGAGCCTCAGACTCTTACTAGTTGTGTGGCCTTGGGAAAATCACTTAACCACTGTTTGCCTCAGTTGTTTCATCTAAAAATGGGAATAAATAATACTAATAAATATTTGTAAAGCACTTAGCACAGTACCTGGCATATAAGTGCTGTATAAATGTTAGTTGCTATTATTATTCAGGCCCTCATCAGTCTTCCTCTTGAACTATTATAACAGATTCCTAAGTGGTCTCCCTATATTAATTCTTTCTCCACCCCCATCCAGACTTCATACAGCTGACAAAATAAACTTCCTAAAAATTTGGGAGGATGTAGACAAGGGTCGCATAGAATAACAAGCATGGATGGGACACTTCTGAATCAATGTCATCATAGATCTTTCTGAGCATTTGAATTTTAGGAGAGGAAGGCAGGCAGGAAGAAGGCAGGAAGGAAGGAAGGTAGTCTATGTAACAGGATAAGGATATATTTGGAAATGGAAATGTGGGGTGAATATGACATTAAAACAAAAGACATCAATGACACTTTTTAAAATTAAAACATACCTTCCTAATACATGTCTGACCATGTTACTTCTGTCCTGAAAAACCTTCAGTGGCTCCTCATTATCTATAAAATACAAATCCCTTCACCTGGCATTTAAGGCTTTTGACAACCTGCTTCCAACATACCTTTCTAGCTTCATTACACATTGTTCCTTTTCAGGCACTCTATGTTCCAATCAAAATAGAATGCTAGCTATTCCACAATCTCATCCTGCCCTTTTATACTCCAATGTACTCACACAAGCTTTTTCCCATATCTGATAAGTGCTCTCTCTCCATCTGTGCCTGGTAAAATTCTTCTAGTCCTATAAAGCCCAGAGCTAGGTCCCAATTAGTGCAAATCACGAAGCCCCTGAAGTGGTCACATTATTCACATTTGCACTTCATATTTCCATTGGGTCAGAAACAATGACCACATTTTACACAATTATAACTTCAAATAGTGTGAATTTGAATACATGTGACCATTCTGGGTGATTTATTATTCCCACTAATAGGGACTGAGCTGTGTTAACTTTTGCCATGAAACCTTTCCTGATCCTTTTCTGATTCCTTTCTCTACACTGAAGCTAAGAATAACCTCTTTTATCTCGACTTATATTTTCTTAAAAGCAGCAGTTTGGCCAAATCACGTTCTTTCAACCTATCTGTTGTTGTTCATTTGTTTCTGTTGTGTCCAACTCTTCTTGACCCATTGGGATTTTCTTGGCAAAAATACTGGAATGGTTTGCCATTTCCTTCTCAATCTCATTTTGCAAATGAGGAAACTGAGACAAACAGGGTTAAGTGACTTGCCTAGGGTCACACAACTACTAAGTATCTGAGGCTGGATTTGAATTCATGAAGATGAGCCTTCCTGACTCCAGGCCTGGCACTCTATACTGTGCCACCCAGCTGCCCCTGGAACTACTTGTATGCCACCAATTAAAGTGAAAGCTCCTTGAAGACAAGGGACTGTTTACTTTTTTTGACTTTGTGTCTCGAGTACCTCCCACTGAAAGCACTAAATGAATGCCTGCTAAAAGATTTGAATTTGAATTTAGTAATGTGATTTGGGAATATGAAATAAGCCAAGTTTCAAAACTATTAACTCTCACACATATAGAATGATTCCCTGTCTCTAAGAGAAAGAGTATTTGATTATGAATCCACAGGCACCTTAAACCTTTACACTGTTGTGCCGTAATCAAGGGGAAAAAAATCTAAAACCACAGTTTATAATTGTTCATTAAAAGTAATCCTTCAAAATAACACGCTGAACCCAAATTAATTTCTGAGATGTGTATTGTTGCTTTTCTTTAAGTACGGCAGTGCTTAGGGAAAAAAAACTACCAATGCTAAAATTGTATCACTTCAGAATTTAAAACAAAAATGGAAATGAGAAAGAAATTTATTGGGGGAAAAGGGAGATAACCTGGGTTTTTTAAGTCCTACAGAAGGAAAGAAGTCAGTTCCCACCCCCTTTTCCCTATATCTGCCCAGTTTTACAGTTTCAAGAACATAATAATATTCCAACCCATTTTCATCCCTAGACAGAGGATGTTTGGGAATGCTATTTGACTTTTTTTAAGAAAAAAATTAACCTAGATCACTTTTCAAAATTTCTATACCTTACAATTACTTTCTTTGAACTTTCAAAAGCTGAAGGAAAATAACAGACATGCCTATAAGAGAATATGAAATCAGGAATTCTTGGGAGGAAAAAAGGCACACTAGCCCAAAGCTTTTTCGATAATGAAGAGAAAGTAACATGCTGATATAAATATTTGCTTTTTTTTTTTACTCTGAAGGAAAAGTAATAATTTCCCAAATAAACTACATCAAATCTTAATACTTTCTTCAGCTCCTTTCATTCCATAACACGTTACCTCTCTACTCCTAGTAATCACCTGGTCCTTGTCTTCATTGCTACACAAATTTGGCCATGCCAATTAATGTTTTCCAGAAAAGTATCACAATAGACTAATGGTTAATACTTGAAGAAAAACACAAGGAAAATATGAGAAGGTGTTTCAGTCAGAGTTGGGGCTTAAAAAAAAAAGCCTATAGCCATACATAATCTGAGTTAACTGATATTTGCCTCAGTAGAGCATGAGGCAAACAGCATAGCTAAAAGGAAAAAGAAACATCAGCAAGGGGATTTCTAGCTCTTCTTGAAAGTCATGGAGATTACCTGATCGACTGGAACCTCAACTTGAGTGTCTTCATCTTCCTGTACTTCTGCTGCCCCCTCCATTTCAGATCTCTCTGCTCCGGCTTTGAAAATGCCTTCATCTACAAAGAAAAATCGATTAGAAGGGGAACGGAAAGTCCAATTCTGACATCATGTGGCTTCTTCCTGAAACTACAGTCAAAATCCTATTTAGGGGCGGGGTAGGGTGTGATGTGTTCTCACGAGGCATTTCTATTCCATTCAACCAAGAGGATTACTGTTGATGTTGTTTTGCTTTCTATCGAATGTGTACATTTTCACAATATAGAGATACTGGAGACTCTAGTTCACCCAAAAAAGCTCTTGACTCACCATCCCCTTTTGTTCTGATTTAATACCACCTTACACTTCTCTCCCATCCATGAAATGGAAATGATGCCTGGTAGGAAAAGGGGTGGGGGGTGGCAAAAAAAATCTTTCATTTCAACCATATTTGTGATTAGAAATCCTAATTTCCAAAGAGAAAAGGAATACTTAATATTAAAATTGGCATTATTCAATCCATACAAGACAACTTAATCCTTTTGATTTGAAGCCAATATGCCCTACAGGTTACAGACTCATAATGCCTTTCACACCCCACATAAGTCATAATCAAGCCTGTATTTTACAGACCTCCCTATGCGTTTCACAATCTCCAGTAATACATACTAGTGCTTAATTGACTTCACTGCAAGGAAAATAGATTGATTTCATTCACCTTGCTCTATTTTTCTAAGCAAAAAAAAAAAAAAATGATTCATGAGCTTGCAATACCTGAAAATATTCTTTAATTCTCCCCTTCAGCTTTCTCTTCTCTAGGCTACGTAATCAGAGAATCACAAATCTGTTACTTAGTCCAGCTCCCATCTTCCAAATGGGTAAACATTTAAACCGTTCTTCAATATGTGATCCCCTTCAGCAGTAAATCATAGTGTTGATTCACTATCAGTCAAGAAATGTTTTCTTTCATGCAGCTTAACTATCTCTTGCTGCAATTTAAACCCATTTCCATGGTTTTGATCTTCCTAATCCTTCATATACTTAGAACAGCATGTAGTCAACCTTTTCCATGTTTCTATTGTCCATGGTGTTTAAAAGCCATTTCCAGCTCTTTATTAGTCCCATCATATGTATTTTTCATCTTTTAATCAATTATTGTTTACTATTCTTCACTAGACTCTCTCTAATTTTTCCATGTCTTTTCTTTTTTTTTTTGTGAGGCAATCGGGGTTAAGTGACTTGCCCAAGGTCACACAGCTAGTACCTGTCAAGTGTTTGGTCTGAGGCCGGATTTGAACTCAGGTCCTCCTGACTTCAGGGCCGGTGCTCTATCCACTGCGCCACCTAGCTGCCCCTTCCCATGTCTTTTCAAAAACATGTAATTCACCTGGAATCCCTATCTCCTCCTTTCCACCTTAAACCCCATTTCTTCCTTGAAACAGTGGAAACAGCACTGGCACTGGGGTTCAAAGGACTTGGCTATATTACTTGTCACCCATGTGACTTTGGTGAAGTCATATATCCTCTCTGAGTCTAGGCTTCCATATCTGTAAAATGAGTGGGATGGATGAGATGACCTCTCAGGTCTCTTTTCCAGATCTAAATCTATGATCCCATGATTCTATGGATTCTTCTACTACTCAATCAGTCAAAATTGATATCTAGAATTCAGAGAGCCCTTTTCTGTACCTTTCCTGGACAAGTATCATAATCTGCTTTGTACTATAATGACCTGTATGTATTTGATATATCCCTATTTACTAGACTTTAAGTTCCCTGAGGGCTGCAAACTTCAATATTGTATCTCATTTGTCGTGTGTCTTCTCTGGTGTTTTGTACAGAGTAGGAAATTGATAAATGAGCATTAATAAGCGCTCATTAAATGGAGTTGAATTCTCTATTATCCACCTAGAATTACCTGCTTTGAGGATTTTCTATGCAAATTTGTAATCCCAGGATGACGGTTGTTCCTGCCACCCAGCATGCTTCTCAGCTTTCTCTCCCTACTATTAATTGCTATGTGTTTAGTTAACACAAAGACATTTTTATATTAAGCTTTTCTTAGACTGTGTAGTCTTTGTATGTATATTACATAGATACATAATTTATTACACAAAATTAAATATTCTGTGCTTTTAAAAAAAATTCTCTTCTACTTTGATCTCCACCAACTACTCTAAGCTTCCAAATCAAAAGCAGCCTGTATTCTACTATGGATATGAATGATGCTGTGCATATGAAAATTTATTCCTGGATCCTTCATATCATAATACTGTTAATACACTGAGGACTTCAATCCAATATGCAGCTGCAATCAAAAATACCAGCAAACTGCTGGGTATAAGCAGAAAGATTTTTTTTTTAGTAAAAACAAAACAGAGGGCATAGTATTACTCTCATACAGACGTGTAGAATGTATAAAGTTCTTGTTAACTGAATTTAGTAAGAGGAAAGTGCAACTCAAAAGTGTTTGAATTCTCTATCAAGGCAGATTATAATTTAGTCAATCAGAAAGTAGAAGGCTGAGTGAATGTGGACTTCTTCCATCACCAAACTCTGGAACATAAGAGGCTGCCCCTTTGAAGTCTAAATAGGGTCATTTTCAAATCATCAGAAGGAACCATTATTTTGCACAGCAAGTAAAAAACACATGAATTTACTATCTTAAGAAATGGATACAGAGTGAAAACACAATTAAGTTCAAGAAATGCTTAGATAAAGTTATAACTGGTTATGGTCCTAATCTTCTGAAAGCAATAGTACTCTTCCTCAAAAATGTGCCTTAGTATTAATGTCAAAAAGGCAGCCTGGCATGATGTATCAGTTGCTGGGCTGAGAATAAGACATGGGTTCAAATCCTGCCTCCAGCACCAACTAGCTGCGTGATTATGAGTAAGTCAAACTCCTCTAAGTTTCAGTATCCTCACCTCTAAAGTAGGAATAATAATACCTCACAGGGTTGTTGCACAATATGACATGATCATATTTATGATCATAGATTTAGAGCTGGAATGCCATGGATCTAACTCCTTCATTTTACAGATGAGGAAACTGAGGCCCAGAGAGGTTAAGTGCTTTGCTTAGGGTTACACAGGTAGCAAATGTCAGGCCTAGGATTTGAACTAAGGCTGGGTTATGAATCAAGGTCTTCCTTCCCACTGCATCATAGTTCCTCTCATGACAATGTCTATAAAGTGCTTTGAAAATTTTTTAATGACCTAGAAGATCAATCATTCATATTACTGGACTAGGTGAATCATTGTCCTAATCCACTATTCCATTTTTTGTGTCATGTGATGTTATGATTCATTTTTATTTCTTTATCCTAGGACATAGCATTTACTTCTTAAAAATATATACCAGAAAAACTAGAAGAAACTAAGGAAATGAAGTTATTCAAGTTTTATATGAAATAAATATTGGTTTAACTATTTCTACAACAAGTTTACCACAGGTGAAAGCTAAGTCAACAAGTTTGTGTAGCTAACCCAAAGAAGATAAAAAGAAGTGCAATATGTTTGATAAAAATTAATGTCCATCCATGAACAAGATATACAAGTCATCTCCTATAAGCCTTTGAAATAAATACAAAATAAGAACAGGCATACAGTGGCTAAGGAACAGAAAAATCATAAGACAATATGGAAATATAACCAAGGAAAGTAAAGATCCAAACAGATTGCAGAGGAGAGACCAACTTGTAAGAGACGATAAGAAAAGAGATGTTTTTAAAAATTAGTCTGTTTTAAAGAAGAAATCTGGTAAGTATCACTAACATAGAAATATCAAGTTACCTGTGATATCAGAAGACTCAGAATGGCATTCAGAGAAGCAAACAACCTACAATAATTAATATTTTAGTTTTGAACATATTAAGAATTTCTGTAGCAGCTTTACCTTCCTTGCTACTTTTCCCACCCACCTAAATGCTGAAGGAGGCATCACAGAATGATGATGATAGGTGAAGTCCTTCTGGAGACACAATAAATGAATATAATACAGCACAGGAATAGTGGACTTCAGCGAGCCTTCACGTCTGGAACACCTACTTCAAGTACCATCTCTCCCATAGAGTGGCTACTGTAACCTTTGGGAAGTAATTTAACCTCTCAGTGCCCCAATCAAACCTCTAAGGATAGAAATTACAGGGCAGACGCTGTACTCTATTGATAGAGGAAGTTTCCTCACCAGGCCTTCCCTTCACCAATAAGATCATAGGACTAGTCCAAAATTTTTTTTAAAAAATAAAAGAAATGTTTAGGGATGATGGAGCCCATTAAGATGGAGAGATCAAATGGATTTTCTTTTAATTAACAAGACGATTTTTATTATTAACTCTATTAGGTGCCTACTACATACGAGGCATTCTGCTAAATGTCACGGATACAAGTATCAAGTATGATCTACTTAAGGACCTTAAATTTCAAAAAGTTTACAATCTAATTAGTAAGACAAGAAGCATACTACATACATTGCTGGATGCAGGTATTTTTTCTAACAGCATAATCTGACTCTTATTCATGTCCATGTTCCACAGGGTTCTACCTAATATGGCTTGGGAAGGGCCAGGGGAAGGTTCTCTAAGTATCTACACATTAAGTAGATCCATTGGAACGCTCAAGTTATTCATCTGCCATTCCTTGGTCTTACTACATGCCTGGTCTACCTTCTTCTCTGGTCATATGTTTATTTGATACCCTTTATGATTTACACTACTTCTCAAGTATAATTCTTTATTAGCAACAGGTTCTAGCTTACTCATGTCCATCATTCACTACCTCCCCTACTTCCCTCTGGATGTAGTATTCCACAATATTCCAAATAAGCAGCATTGTGCTATTGGGGTTGTAGTTTTAAGGTCTCCACTGCTAAATCTGCTTGGAGTTAGTGTACTTGGTGATGGCCTTGGTGCCCTAGAACATGGTGTTCTTGTCCAGCTCCCTGAGCAGCAGCAGCCACATGGCTGTCTGGATCTCGCAGGACATGATAGTGGAGTGCTTGGTCTAATGCACCTGGTCAGACACCTCAATGCCAAGATGCACTCAAAGCTGTCCTTGATGAATGAGTTCATGATGTCCAT